AGGAAGAAGAGGAACAGCTGGGTCCAGTGCCTGATGCGCGGCTGCGCAAAAGGCAGAGGAGAGGAGAGCAGTGGAAATCTAAGGGTCGGTCCTTGGGACAGAAGAGACACCACTGCTAACAAAAGCCCCACTCTAGCTCTGGGGATAAAAGGCAGAGGTCGGAGAGGAATAGATGTGGCAGACAAACTATTCATCTTCCGTCTGGCCAGACTTGTTAGCCTGAGGAAGAAACATTTGGCCAGGGCTGCCAACACTCCTAATAAAGGAACCTTTTGAGTTCACATCAGAGGGTTTGTCGTGTTTGGGGAGCTGGATCAGAACACCCATCATAATTTTACAAAAGTTGATATGAGCAGAGTGGCCTTCTCTATTAATAACTCATGTTCTACCTCTGATGTCAGCCTGTGCGGTATACAAGTAGTCCTCAAATTACAATCATATTTGGGAGCAGCATTTCTGTTGCTAAGCATGGAGGTTCTTAAGTGAGCCATGCTCCATTTTATGACCCTTTTGACATGGTTGTTGTGTGAACCACTGCAGTTATTAAGTCAATCATCTGGTCGTTAAGCAAATCCATCCCATTGTCTTTGCTAGTTTGGAGCGGCAAGTGGTGATTATGTGACCCTGAAACAGTCATTAAAACATGCCAGTTGCCAAGCCCCCAAATTTTGATCACATGACTGTAGGGATGTTTCAAGGACCCATCATAATTAACTTTTTTTTTTCAATGCCATTATAACTTTGATTCCCTAAACATGATTCTGTAATTAATCTGCATATTTTTGGTAGGGGAGAGGAGAGACGGATGGATTAGTTGCTTTAGTTACTGTGTGTGTGTCTTTTAAGTATAAGTGAAGCAATTGTATTTCAGGACTACAGGAGACATCTACAAATTAATTAATGATAGAGCTCAGGTTTACATTTTCAACAAGAACAATGGGCTTCAGGGGAAGGCAACATTTTTTTATGTGAAAATAATTATTTTGTAGAAAAATGTGCAGGCACATTGTCTACCTGTGTCTATTGTCCACAATGTGCACCTAGAACTGGCTGCAGTTGTGTTGTCCCTTGTTGTTGTTTTTTGTTAAAAACAAAAAAACAAAGTTTAAAAAAAGGTTTCTTCCGTGTCAAAGAGCATAGTCTATCAAGAAAACCTTATTAAGGTGTCAGCATTTCCAATGAATATTTCAGAACCGATGCCATATATCTCAAATACTCTCCTAGCATCAGTGTCAACTTTACTAAGAGGGGAATTATTTCTCAGACAAAATAGCATAAATATTGCAGGCGGTTGGCGCTATGGAGAGACGAAGTCCCTAGAGTCACTTATTTATTCTATTCTTCAAAAAAATAAAGAAGAAGAAACTGCACTCAGGTCTCCTTGAAAAGGGAAGGAGCTTTTATATGAGACTTCATAAAGTGGACTTTTCTACTTTTTTAAAGCACTGAAATAACATAATTATGCAAAAATGCACTAAAACGTTATTCTTCTTCTAAGAGCAACTGCTATGAAATTGGGAAAACGGGCTTTTGAGACAACTGGATTGGAAATTTACTTTCTGATGAAACATTGGCATGATTTTATGATAAGGAATAGGCAGCGTTAGCTTGTAACTATTGCTTATCCTTCTACCAAGCTGTATGTGAACAACCTTAGAGGATCGAGAACTATTTCAAGAAAAGTGAAAGAATGAGTACAGATAGGCCTTGAGTTACGACCACGGTTGAGCCTAAAATTTCTGTGAGAAATTTGTTAAGTGAGTTTTGCCCCATTTTACAACCTTTCCTGCCTTGGTTGTTAAGTGAATCACTGTAGCTGTTAAATTAGTAACACGGTTATTAAGTGAATTTGACTTCCTTGTTGGTTTCGCTTATCAGAAGGAGGCAAAAGATGATAACGTGACTCTTAAATACGAGTCAGTGGCCCAGCGTCTGAATTTTGATCACGTGCCCATGGGGAGAATGCTACAATGGTCTTAAGTGTGAAAAACGGTAATAAGTCCTAGCAACTTTGAACAGTCACTAAATGAATTGTTGTCAGTCGAGGACTACCTGTACATAAAAACCTGGGTGATCATTTAAAGAATTTGAAACTCCCAAGATAAGAGCTTGGAGAATCTTTTTCTATTAAACGTTAGCAGGTGTTTGTGGAAAATTAATGTATGCAATCTTACTCTACTGTTAAAGGATTTATTCTATAAAGTGCCTTCCCGGGGGAAGCTGAGTCAATGCATCTAATCATTGGTTTAGAGAGTTGTCTCCTTTGCTTAGGACAACAAAAGCAGGTTGTGCTGTTGTGTAAATTAACATTACTTTGTGTCTCTGCGTGTATAATTTTTAATGTTTAAGTCAACATGAATGTTCCCTAAGCAAAAAAGGCAGGTTATGCATTTATTAATTACGTGAAAAAGAAAGTGATGCTAAGTATGCACGCTTGGAGAAGGCGAAAGGGAGAAATGTTCAATTAAATTAAATGACTGACGTCATCATTTTGAATGATTAAACTCGTGGAATTAAGATTTAGCGGTGATCGGTTAGTCATTACAGATAACATTTTTGGTTTGTTGATTTGTATTGAGAGGTGATTATTAGGGTGGAAGCTAATCTTTTCTTACCTAGGAATGGTCAGTTAGATGGCACACTTTCTCGGCATTCACATAAAAATGTATTTGGATATTTATCATGAGATTGTGTAAATTGTGTAGTTTTGTTCGCCACGATGTAAAAAAGATGTTGAGACTCTAGAAAAGTGCAGAGAAGAGCAACCAAGATTATTAGGGACAGGAAGCTAAAACATATGAAGAAGGGTTGCTGGAATTAGGTATGTCTAGTTTGATGAAAAGAAGGACTAGGGGTGACATGATAGCAGTCTTCCAATTTCTCAGGGGCTGCCACAAAGAAAGAGGGAGTCAAACTATTCTCCAAAGCTCCGGAGGGCAGGACAAGAAGTAATGGGTGGAAACTAATCAAGGAGAGAAGCAACTTATAACTAAGGAGAAATTTCCTGACAGCTAGAAGAATTAACCAGTGGAACAACCTGCCTCCAGAAGTTGTAAATGCTCCAACACTGGAAGTTTTTAAGAAGAGATTGGACAGCCGTTTGTCTGAAGTGGTTTAGGGTTTCCTGCCTAAGCAGGGGGTTGGACTAAAAGACCTCTAAGATCCCTTCCAACTCTGTTATTCTATTCTATTCTGTTCTGTTCTGTTCTGCTCTGCTCTGCTCTGTTCTGTTCTTTATTTCATTATTCTACTCTACTCTACCCTATTCTGAATTCTATTCTGTCCTGTCCTGTCCTATCCTATCCTATCCTATCCTATCCTATCCTATCCTATCCTATCCTATCCTATCCTATCCTATCCTATCCTATCCTATCCTTCCCTTATTCTATTCTATTCTATTCTATTCTATTCTATTCTATTCTATTCTATTCTATTCTATTCTATTCTATTCTATTCTACTCTACTCTACTCTACTCTACTCTACTCTACTCTACTCTACTCTA